AATAAAGTAACATTTGGGGATTTATTAAATAAAATAATATTCGGGTGCAGCAGAATTTGACTGTTCTCACCTAACAATCTCATTTGTTATTGTGAAACTGACCTGAGACCACTTATGTTTGATAATTATCTCACAAATATGCTACTTTTCTGCAGAACCATGGGTCATCAACCTAAGTCCCTGTTTTTAGAAGCAATTTAAAACATGCTTTAATGGCAAAGAGAGTACTAAAATGAGGTGAAATTTCCATTAACCTGCATTTCAGTTTTTAAGAAGACAAGATTTTACAGAATATCATGAATAGGAAATTCAGTCTTTAAAGAACTTAAATATTCAAGCAGAAGTGTTAGATAATTTACTACCCATTCTTTTATCTCACACTTAACTGTAAAGTCAACTATGAGTTAAACCCAAGGATAAAATAAGACCCAGTCCTACCCTCAAGAAACAGCCAGTCTTACACTGGGAGACAGACCACTAACAATTTTATCTGACAGGGAATAACAGCTGCTCTGAAACATGCAGAGAATGTTAAGAGAGAACAGAGGAAGGGAAGTAATTAGGTCAGGACAGGTCTGAGGTTTGAACAGGTTCCTGAAAGGAACACTGGATGAGGGGAGGGCAGGTCTCTGAAGAGGACAGCTTATACACAGGAAGTGCCTTTGCAATGGCACCAAGGGAAACACGTTCATGGTCAGGATAATGGGGCTAAAGATGTGTGAAGAGCTGGCAGCAGGTGACATTGTAAAAGAAGATAGGGGTCCAGTCATGGAGAGGGAGGGTGTGTGTGTGTGTGTGTGTGTGTGTGTGTGTGTGTATGTGTCACACCTAAGAGAAGGAACACTAACTCCAATCACATTTCCAATTTATAGCCTTACATTTGTGACCCAACAGTATGCAGGTCTTTTCAACTAACACTCACAGAATCTATTGTAAGTTTCATTTGTCTTTATCATTAAACTTCATGAGCTCTCCCTTTAGGCTAAAAGCTTCCTTGTGAATAAAAATTATTTCTGCATGATAGCATTACTCCTATTCAATCCATCTGATCAAGGACCCGCTAGAAATAAATGAAGGACTCCTTTATCTTCGTTGCTTGCTTGTTTGAAGACAGGGCCTCTCTCTGTAGTCCAGACTGGCCTCAAACTCACAATATACCCTAGCCTGGATTTGAATTCATAGTCCTCCTGCCTCAACATCTCAAATGTTGGGATCATAGGTACATATCATCATTCCTGGCTTTCACACACAAGATTTGTATTATTTAATTTCCCATGGCACTCAAATAGTTACTGAATCAAAAAGACTACACAGTTCTGTTTTCTAATTTTCAAAAGCTTGTAATTTAAGATATAACAGTTGTTATTATTCTTAATTTTCAGAACTGAAATGTCACTGCTTTGTGTGACAGATTGAGAAACAAACTAATCATAAAAAAGGCCATAAAAGCTAATAACTAAAGAAAGTATAGTAAGATAAATCAATGTAGAATTATAAATGATCAGAATTTTCAGTTGTCTATTATGGTTCTCTTTATTGAGTTCAGAAACCTATTAACCACTTGACATGGAAGACAACTCATTAACTGAGTTATGGAGTTCTACTTTCATTGTCAACCAGATTCACAATATTTACAAAAAAAAAAAAACCAAACCCAAACATCATCCTTCCTGAAAATACTGACAACATTTTGATAAGTTACTGAAGTTCAAGACCAAAACATCTACTATTACTCTCTTATTTCTTTTTTAAGACAAGGTCTCACTATATAGCCCAAGGTGAAGTTGCATTCAATATCTTCCTAATTCAGCTTTCTGTATGCCACCATACCCGCCTCTACCATTAATCTTCACATAGGTTTTTGGCAGTGCTCATGGTGAGCGGATGAATGTGGTACCTGAGGCAGAAACCTTCACACTGATCCACCGTGGCCTGTGTGCTGACAGATCCACTTATTTCCTCTTACCACTTCAATGCCCCCTCTGTATTCAATAAGATATTCTAATGTTGACTACTCAACCTGCCATATATGTCTGTCCACTAGCTGTATGTCTCAGGGATCAACTGCTAAAAATCTGATTTTTTAAAGTGTTTTCCTTCCCACAGCCCATCATGAGAAGCTGTTCAATCTATCTATCAACAGACAGTTCATTGGAAAGGGACCAGCCCCTGGTCTGCCCTGTAGTGCCCACCCTAGCTTCTCAAACTGGGAAATACATATTCTCACTTGAATTGTATGGCTGTGAAGATGGAGCCATGATATCAAAGGGGTACAAGAGTCAGCTATTGCTTTATTCAACGATCAATAAGCTAACATTTTTTACATTAAAATTAATACATGAAATACACTATGGAATACAGTAAAAGTATCTGCATCAGTTTTTAAGACAGCACACAAGAAGCCTCCAGAATTGGAAGTCGGCTTGAATTATGTCCTCATAAGAAGTCTGTTCATGGGCTGGGAAGGTGGCTCAGTGGTAGAGCGCTTGCCTTGCATGCCTGAGGCCCTGGGTTCGATTCCTCAGCACCACATAAGCAAAAAGAAAAAAGCC